TGTTGAATATTAATTGACCACAGAGACATGGTTTATTTCTGGGCTCTCTATCCTGTTCCATTGATCTATGTGTCTGTTCTTGTGCCAGTACCAGATTGTTTTGATATCAGCGTCCTTGTAATATAGTTTGATTTCAGGTTTTGTGATCCCTCATACTTTGTTCTTCTTTCTCAAGATTACTGAGCCTATTTGGGGTCATTTTTTGTCCCATGTAGATTTTTGGAATATTTCTTCTATGCGAATTTTAATAGGGATTGCATTGATTTCATAGACTCATTTGGGTAGTATGGACATTTTAATAATGTTAATTCTTCCAATCTATGAACATTGCATATGCTTCCATTTATTTGTATCTTCCTTAATTTCTTTCTTCTGTGTTGTGTAGTTTCTAAGTACAGGTTTTTTACCTTCTTGGATAAGTTTATTCCTAGGTACTTTATTTTTCTTGTTGCTATAGTAAATGGGATTGTTTCCAAGTTTCTGTTTCTGATATTTCACTGTTGTACAAAAATGCCTTCAATTTCTCAATATTGATTTTGTAACCCACTGTTTTGCCAAATTTGCTTATTAGGTCAAGTAGGTTTTTGGTTGGAGTCTATAGTGTTTTCTGTGTATACTATCATGTCATCTGCATATAATGACAGTTTTACTTCCTCCTATCCAATTTGGATGCTCTTTATTCTTTTTTTTTCTGGTCTGGTCACTGTTGGTATAACTTCCAGTGCTATGTTGAATGAAAGTGGTGAAAGTAGACATCTCTATTTTGTTTCTGATCTTAGAGGGAGAGCTTTTGGTTTTTACCCATTGAATATGATGTTGGCTGTATGTTTCTCACATGTGGCCTTTATTATGTTGAGGTATACTCTCTCTATTCCCACTCTGCTGAGAGTTTTTATCATAAGTGGATGCTGTACTTTATTAAATGCTTTCTTCTACATCTATTGATATGATCATGTGATTTTTGCCTTTCCTTTTGTTTACGTGATGTATTATGTTTATTGATTTGTGGATATTTTACCATCCTTGCATCCTTGGTATGAATCCCACTTCATCATGGTGTATGATCTTTTTAATGTATTGCTGGATCCAGTTTGCCAATATTTTGTTGAGGTTTTTACCATCTATATTCATCAGCAATATTGGCCTATAATATTCTTTATTTATTGTGAGTTTACCTGGTTTTGGGATTAGGATGATGATGACCTCATAAAAAGAGTTGCGGAGTCTTCTGTCTCCTTCAATTTTTTTTGGAAAAGTTTGAGAAGGATAGAAGTTAGCTCTCCCCTAAATGTTTGTTAACATTCACCTGTGAAGCCATCCAGATCAGAGCTTTTCTGTGCTGGGAGTTTTTTTTTCTTATTACATTTCATTAGTTGTTATCAGTCTATTCAGGTTTTCTGCTTCTTCTTGATTCAGTCTTAGAAGATTATATGTTTCTAGAAATATGTCCATTTCACCCAATTTGTCAAATTTCTTGGCATATGGTGTTTGTAGTAATTTTTTAAAATCATTTGTATTTCTGTGGTATTGGTCATAATTTCTCTTCTTTCATTTCTGATTTTGTTTGGGTACTCTCTCTTTTTTGTCTTGATGAGTCGAGTTAAAGGTTCGTCAGTTTTGTTTGTCTTTTCAAAGAACAAGCTTCTGGATTTATTGATCTTTTGAATTGTTCTTTTAGTCTTTATGTCATCTAATTCTGCACTGATCTTGATTATTTCCTTCCTTCAACTCGCTCTGGGCTTTGTTTGTTGTCCTTCTAGTTCTTGTAGATGTAGGATTTAGGCTGTTTATTTGAGATTTTTCTATTTTTCTTAGGTGGGCCTGTATTACTATGAAATTCTCTCTCTGGATTGTCTTCACTGTGTCCCTTAGGTCTGGGACACAGTTTCTGTTTCCAGAAACTTTTTGATTTCTTCCTTGATCTTGTGATTAACTTACTTATTACTTAATAGTATGTTATTTGGTTTCCATGAATTTTGATGTTTTTGAGTTTTTTCCTTGAGGTTGGCTTTATTTCAAGACATTGTGATCTGAGAAGATGCTTGATATGATTTCAGTTTTCTTCAATTTGTTGAGAGTTGTTTTATGTTCTTCATGTGGTCTTTGAAAATGTTTCATGTGCATTTTAAAAGACTGTATACTTTGATTCTTTGGGGTCAATGGATCTATATATATATATATATATATATATCAATTAAGTCCATTTGATCTAGAGTGTCATTCAGTGCCTTGATATCCCTATTGATCCTTTGCTTGAAAGATCTATCCATTATTGATAATGGGGTGTTAAAATCCCCAACTAGACTGTGTTACTGTAGTTATCTTTCTTGAAGTCCTCCAGGATTTTCCTCATATTATTGGGTGTTCCTATGTTGGGTGCATTTAAGTTTACAAGGGTTATATCTTCTTGATGGACTATTCCCTTAAATATTATGAAGTGTCCTTCTTTGTCTATATCATGGCCTTTGTTTTGAAATCTATTTTGTCTGATATAAGTATTGCTACCCCAGCTTTTTTTTTTCATGTCTGTTTGCTTAGAATAGTTTTTTCCACCCCTTCATTCTCAGTCTGTGTAGATCATTGTTATGAGGTGGGTCTACTGCAGCATATATGTGGGTCATATTTTCTTGCCCATTCAGGTACCTTGCGTCTTTTGATTGGAACATTTTAACTACTTATATTTACAGTTATTATTGATAGCTACTTATTCATTGTCATTTTTTCCCCTTTGTACCCATGTTCCTCTCTCGCTTTTTCTTCATCTTCTTAAAGCAATCCCTTTAGCATCTTTTGCATTACTGGTTTGGCAGAGATGTATTACTTTAGCCATTTATTTTGTCTGGGAACCTCCTTATTTAGCCTTCATTTTAAATGAAAATCTTTCTGGGTAGAGTAGCTTTGGTTGCAAGGCTTTGCCTTTCATTACTTGGCATATTTCTTGCCATTCCCTTCTGGATTGTAGTGTTTCTGTTTAGTAATCAGCTAATAGCTTTATTGGAGCTCCCTTGTGTGTTACTATCTGTTTCCTCATTGCTGTATTTAATATTCTCTCTTTGTCTTTAAGTTTTGTAATTTTAATTATGATGTGTCTTGGTGTGGGCTTCTTTGGATGCATCTTGATTGGGACCAACTGTGCTTTCTGGACTTCTATGAGCTTTCTCTTATCAAGTTTGGGAAGTTTTCTGTCATTGCTTTTTCAAATAGGTTTTCCACCCCTTACTCTTCTTCTTCTCCTTCTGGTATCCCTGAGATATAGATATTTTATATTTCATGTTGTCCTGCAGCTCCCTTAAACCCTCCTCATTCTTTCTGAGTCTTTTTTCATTTTGTTGCTCTGTCTGGGGATTTTTTTTTTCTAGCATGTTTTCCAGCTCACTGATTTGACCCTCTGCTTCATCTAGCCAGATTTTAATTCCTTTACTGTGTTCTTAATTCAGAAATTATGTTTTTCATTTCCTCTTATCTCTTATTAATAGTTTCTATATATTTTTTCATGCTGTTGTTTATCTCAGTAAGTACTTGTATCTTCCCAGGAGTTTTTTATAGTTCTCACTGAGCTCTTTGAGCATCCTTATAACACTTGTTTTAAGCTCAATGTCTGATAGTTTGCATGCTTCTACTCCATTTATGACTCTTTCTGGGGATTCTTCCTTTCCTTTTGACTGGGAGTTGTTTCTTTGTCTTCCCATTTTAGGTTACTCTTCTTGTTTGCTTTTATTTCTTAGATTTATTTGCTTTGACTCCCTGTCTTCATGGTGTGACCTTCTGTGGTAGGAGAACTGCGGGATTCAGTGGTGCAGTCTCCTTGATTTCCTGAACTTGATACTCTTGGGATGCCCTTTATGTTGTTTAAGTTAGTTTTCTAGTTGTAATTGAGTTTTGATTCATGTTGGGTCATTCTTTGGTGATTCCTTTTTCTGGCTGGCTTTCTGAAAGTCATTCCACCTACCAGTTTTGTATGTGTTGTACAGATCTTGCCAAAAGAATACCTAACAGCTCAGGAAAAAACCCCACATCTGTGAAAATAATCCCCACCCACAAACACACTACCAACAGCAAATGAGTTAGTGTTAATAAAGGTATAAAGAAATTTAGACTATTATAAGAAGGGAAAAGCGAATATGAGATGACTAACTATAAGAAAAATGCTTTTGAGAAGGTAGAAGGAGGAGCAGTAATAAGAGTAGAGAATGGGAACAAGGTGAAGAAAGAAAGTAAAGTTTACATTGTAAATAAAAAAGGGAGAGAAGAAGGCAGAACAGAGTAAGAGAAGTGAAGTGTATAGTATTATGTTAAAACGGAAATTAAAAAAAATATATAGTGTGTTACAGGGAAAAAAAGAGAGAGAAAATAAGAACTAGATTGGAGAAAAAGATCTACCACAGCACTATCAACAACAAGTGAGCAAAGATGAATATAGGTGGGATGGGAATAAAATGGAAAAAAGGAAAGAAAAAAAGAAAAGTTTATTAAGAGATGTCTAGAGGAAAGAGAAGTGATTTTGAGATGATAGAAAAAAGAAGGAATACTAAGAGTAAAGGATGAAAACTAGTCTAAGACAGGGAAAAGTTAAAATTTAAAACAAACAAACAAAAAGAAATGGCAGTAGGAAGGCAAAATGGAGTAGGACTAGGGAACTGAAAAATTTGAGATTTGAAATACAAAAACAGTGAAGATCTAGAAATAAAATTGAGGAAATGCAGCAACAACCATCATATCCACAACCAATGAGCAAAGATTGATAAAGATGGGGAGAGAAGAAGGCTAAGAGTGTGAAAAAGGATGTGAGATGGCCAATGACAAAAAAAAAATGGTTTTTGAGGGGCTGGAGGGGGGAAGATAATGAGTGTAGAACAGAAACAAGTCATATCAAGAAAGAAAGTAGAATTTAAAAAAACAATAGGAGGAAGAAAGAAGGTAAAATGGAATAAAAGAAGAGCAAAATATGAGATTTGAAATAAACTATAATATAAATGGACTTGAAGGATAAGAAATGAATGTTAAAAAGTGTGTAGGAGAGAGTATAGTGAGGCAACGAGTTGGGGGAGCGCCCCAGCGGGTCGCTGCTCCTCCTGGGTCTGGGAAACAACGGCCGCAGAGGGATGGAGCGCGTCACAGGGCGTACGGCGCTCCAGGATCCGAGGGTTGCTGACCAGGGGCAGCTGAGATGGGACTGGGAGCTCTGAATCCTGCAGACCCTGTCCTGGGGGTATCACAGATAGAGGGAATAAACACGAGTCATTCCAAACACTTCTCTGTTTTCCAGGAGAGGCGATGTGGCACATCCCCCTAGTGGGGAGGCCCAGAGTCCCTTTGTTCAAAGGCTTTTATTGAAAAGGTTATCAGTGGGGCTAGGTAACAGGAATGCACAGGTTATCTCATTACATCAGTATGTTAATGTTCACAGAGAATAGGTATTGTTTTGAAGAAAACAAATGACAGGAACACACCGATTTACATGGGTCCTAGAGGAGACTAGTAAACAGGAGAGGCGACTAAACCTGAGGGCATAGTAAACACTAGAGTGCCTAAGGGTATAAGGTTAGGGTCTGTGAATAATGTAAATTTCTTTCCCAGCATGATCTGGCTAAAACTTCTGAGGGAAGAACAAAGCACACGTTAAAAAATTTACTTTTAGGCCTGATTTCTCTGGGAACCACCAGATCTGGTTTAGGACTGACTCCAGTATTGTTTGGAGCCTAAGGGGAGGGGCGGGGCTGGGGGGGCAGCCTCCAAGAGACAAGGAGACTTCTTTCAGATAGAATGAGGACTCTGGCCATGTCCAAGTTAAGTCGAGGGGTGCGGGTCTTTTTGCCCTTTCTCTGTGTTCCCCTATGTCTTGTCTGCTGCCAATACCCGATCGATATCTGTCTTAGGTTGGTATCTCAGCACGAGAAAAGTTACCCGTCATGGATTACCGATCATCACATGGCAAAGCAGAAAGGCAGGAGCTACGCCCCTGCCATGGGGGTCAGGTTATGTCTCCTCAGGAACCTTTCTCTAAGGCCTCCCTGATTATTTCCAGCCTTGGGGCCCTCCAACCTGTCAGTGGGGTTACAGTTCCTGAAACCAGACAGTGCATTTCCCAACTAGAGAAAATAACTCAAATTCTGAAGAAGACCACGGTGGAATTCATCTCAGTAGTATATAGTGTTTACCATTGTTTTCTCTTTCTGGATTTGCCTCTGGTGACATCATATGGTATCCCAGTCTGGCTCTAGTCAGTTGGTTCAAGGCTACCAGTGATCCACAGTCTGTGGCTGTCTCCTTCAGTTGTTAATCTAGTCAATCTGCAACCAGCAGTCAGGTTTAAGCACTACAGGATGGGACAGAGTAATTCCTGTGGGCAGGGTTATTATTTCCCCTCAGGCTGATGCCACTTGGAAGAGACTGCTCTGCCTGGGCAAGATGGTTCTTCCAGTATGGGGTATGACTCAACACTGGGATTCTGGTGGCTGCTCCCTCAGTTCTTTTCCCTGTGCCACCATCTCCAACTTTTCTGAAGTGTCTCAAGTGTGCTCTGCTTCTGCTTTGCCAGAGCCCTGGTTAAGTGACTACAAATGAAATTTTATGCATTGGTCCTTTAAGAAGCTCTCTGTGGGTTTAGATGTCTCTCTCTGCAAACAGAAACCCCGCCGCTTTTCACAGCTGGATGATATCTGGGTTTCTTTCCTGCTCCGGTGCTATAGGCTGGGGAGCCCAGTTTGGGGTTTAGGCCCCACACTTCTCAGGGGGAACCTCCCAGCCACTGGAATTTATCCCTGGCCCTTCAGCTGTGATACTAGGAGCCCAGCCAGCCTTCTTGCATCTCCTCAACACTCCATAACAGTCACATTGCGGCAAAGAAGCTTCTTCTGTCTGTTCATGATTATAAGACTTCTCTCCAGCTAACATCCCATTGGTTATTTTAGATGATTTCTCTACAATTTAGTTCTAATTCAAGATTGGTCTTGTGAGGAGGTTTGTGTAGCTTCCACTTACTTCTCTGCCATCTTGGAGTAAGAAATTAATTTTTATAGATTCTAATGGAATCTATTTATTGGGTTGAAAACCCTGTTATATTTTATATCTGGTTACTGTCATTCAATAGTATTTATATGGAATTCATCCAAGATGGTTTGTGTGGCAGTCACTGGTTTGTGTGTTCATATCAACCATAGTATAATATTCCATTCCATTGTATGTTACAATTTATTTATACAAAATACTGTTGATTCACATTAGTGTTGATTTGGTTTAAGATATTCTGAATAATACCATTAATAACATTGGGTACTTCTGTTTAGTGCTCATGTATATTATTTCTGTTTGCTACATACTTGAGTGTAACCACTAGTCATGAGTAGGCAAATGTTTGTCTTTGACAGAGACTGACACTGGTTTCCATAGTGCTTGTGCCAATTTACATTTATATCAGCATTGCTTAACATTCCTTTGTGTATGAGATGAAGAGTTATGCATGGCTAGGCACAGTTTGAGATATTAATTAGATAATCAAGTGTGAATGCCAAGAAGGCAAGTGGAGTGTATGAGTTTGAGGATGAGGCTAGAAATAAGTTTGAGGATATACATTTAGATGTGGATGCACATAAAGCCATTGAGCTAAACAATATTACCCAGAGTAAGGTTGACTCCTAGGGTACTCCAACCTTAAAAGCTTTGGAAAAGGAAATATCGGAAGGAGACTGGAAAGAACTGGGTAGTGAGTCAAGAGAGAAACCAAAGGTTTAACAGGTATAGGATTTCAAATGAAAAGAAGTATAACATTTCAAATGGGAGGGATGATCAACTATACCATATAGCACTGGGAAGAGGGGTAACATAAACACGATTTAGCAAGGTGAAAGTTGTTGGAGACATTGGAAAAATAAGTGGTTTCAGTAGAAACAAAAGCTTTGTGAGAACAGATTGATAAGAGAATAACATATGAGATAACTGAAGAAGCTGTAAGGATATTTCTGTGATAATTGCTATAGAGTAACCTGGAGAACTGGGAGGGATTTGGAGGTCTACCATTAAAGATGAAAATTTTTCATTAAAGATGGACATGATAACGTGAGTTTGGTTTGCACTTCATCTTAATATAAGGAAATCCTTGTGGATGCAGGAAAGATGGAAAAACTGCTAGAGATGAATCATTGTATAAACTCAGGTGGAAGAACTTGGGCGTATAGTGCAGGAGTTGGTAGAGGGATAATTCATCACAATGAAACAATTACTCCACAGTCAGAGACAATGGATATCAGAGCTTCCTGTAAGTTTCCTATTCTTGGGAATTACTGACTAAAACCACATAATCAAGTTCTTGCTACTCTAAGCAAAGTCAGTAATATGGATTCACAGGGACCACTTAATCATGTATTGTGCAGTGCACTAATCACACTAAAATTTTAATAAAACCCTATAAATTAGCTGTGATATACTTGTGGAAATTGAAGCTTCAAAAAAATCAAGTAACTTTCAAAGCACCACTTAACTATTGTGTTGCAGAGCTGTGAATCAGATTTCACATTTGAAACTTTTTTTCTAAGGAGACCGTAAAATTTGACATCTGATGCTGAGTACTTTTGAGGGTGAAAGTCATAGAAATAATTGTTTAACTGGGACTGTGGGTATAAACCAAGACTCTCTAGAGCAAACACAACATATGATTATCATTTCCACCCACTTCTAATCTTTTAGTATGCAATTCAAAGCATTCCATTTAATTTCAATTCTTCCATGACTATTTTTTAACAATAGTAATAATCTAAAGTTAGCATTGAAGAGTTCAATTAGGTTTGAAAAATTAAAATAAAGACAAGGAAACTTCAGTATGCATAAAGGATTAATTTATTGAAATGACTGGTTAGGAAACTGTAATAATAAACATAATTACAGAAGCTATTTTCATACATTTATACTATTTTGATAGATTTCTGGGACTTTCAATTCAAAATTGACATTTTGTGGTACTTTTTGAACTAAAATTTTGAAAGTAGATGTTATGAGTAGAATTCTAATTGAGATAAATGCTATAGAATATATAAAATAATGAAATACATTTTCAATTTTTCCATGTAGAATCATCTAAAAATGGTTAATTTTTTGATAGCATGATACAAATATTTAAAAGATGCCATACTCCCAGTCGCAGTCAATTCTATGGAATAAAGAACAAATATAGAATTAGTTATATTATATGATAAAACCATATTATCTTTCTCCATTTGTAATTTTGGTATGACTCATTCATTAGAGAAATTTTATTACATCTTTCCCTTCTTGCATGCATATTAAAGTTTCCAAAGACCAAATAGCATCTCAGTTGGAATTCTTTCACAGAAATATCTAGTCTACCATAATCACTAAAAAGTGTGTATCTAGAATCTCTCCCACTTTTTATCCTTACCATGAGACTAATTAATTTTATTTTGATCCTTGAATTAAAAGAATTTAATTATTTTTTGGAGCCTAAAGTAGATATGAGAATGCAAGTCAATTTTTAAAAAGAGCTCAAACATATTTGCAAAATAGAAAAACTACTTTCAATTTTTTTTCTAAAAATGATGATAATCAAGCATTGGGACATAGGGACTTGTAAACAAACCATTTAAATTTTTGAGTAACACATTACTGAAACTAAAACAATTTAAAATACAAAAAAAAACCCACATCATTTCATTTGCGTATATAATAGTCAACCATTTAGATGACCATGACATATTGATAATTAAGAAATAAGTTCATGTATTGGTGGAGTTTCTCATTATCTTGGGTTTAGTCAGGACAATGAAATGCTAAAATATATTAAGTATAAATATAATTAGTCTAATCTCCAACCTCCCAAATCTTACCAAAGTGAGAGACAAACATTAACTTTGAAATCCTCTTAAACCTTAAAAATAAATAAAAAATAGAAAAAATAAATAAATATGCAGTTCACTTTTTGCCAAGAACACTTTTAAAAATTCTATGAATAATAAAATAAGCATCTACATTGGTTGCCCTCCTATTTACATATGTCAGAAACAAGATATGAATGAAAGCATTTGGAGACAATGCAGACAAGGAACACTTCAAAACTGTAGAAAATAATAAAACTTCTTTATTTCACACCCAAATTATGAAATTTAATTCTGTCTTTAGTAAGTTTCAGTCTTTATCTAAACTCTCAACAGATCGATTAAATCAGAATCTTTGAAATAATTTCTTCTCAATATTCAATATCTTCTACATAGAAAATCAGAACAATTGTATCTAAATCTCTGTGAATAGTCCTAGACATTGGAATTTTAGGGGAAAAAAGTTTCCTTGGTTATTTTATTGTGTAACTAGTATTGAGAATCTCTGATGTGCACTATGTGCATTTCGGATCCATTCATTAATCATTTACCCTTTTATTCTGGATCTCTTACTCCTTCTAATATCATATACACATCATGAATTAAACAGTAGAGTTAGAAAATTAGGACTTACTTGTTGCAAGTTGTAAATTGTGGCAATAGGTTCAGTCACAGGGTAAAACACCTGGGCAGAATCAAGCAGAGGCTCTTGGTTGGGCAAATCTCTCTGGGGGTAGGTGATCACTTGCTGGGAAAGAGGCAGGGCTTTGGGCTGAGGAAGGGAAAGCAGGGGCTGAGGAGGAAGCATGGGAGCCTGAAGAAGAGGCTGAGGGACCTGGTGCATCAAGGGCTGGAGTAGAGGAAGAGGAAGCTGTGGGACATTAGGGATTTGGCGTTGAAAAATTGGCACTATTGGAGATTGAATAAATGGCATCACTTGGCGCTTAGGAAAGATGGTCTCTTTAGTAATGGGGACTTGCATCACTTCAGGCTGAAGGATAGGCAGCACCACAGCAGGCTGAGCAAGAGGCAGACCGTTTTGTGGAAGGACATTGTAAGGGAAGGGCTCAGCGAAAGGATAGAGAAGAGGCTGTGGCTGGACAAGGGACTGGATTTTGTCCTGGTGTTCATCCTGGAGATAAGGAGAAAGAATCTTTGAGTCCATGATTCAGCTGCAATTGCCATTCATGATGAATTAACCTCCTTTCTTTTGAACAATCATAATTAAGTGAAAAGAGAGTAAGAAAATCTTTTACTTGTGCTGGTTAAGAAATCATTTGGGGTTACATGAAGACTAATGAGTTGAATCATCATTGGGGGATTTTTCTTTAACCCACTTCCTTTATTAGGTAAACACAGATTAAACTGAAATCAATGTTTGGGCATTTCAAACTTGTTTCTCCTTTTCTGAGTTGCCTTCAATAGCTGTGACTAGCTGTAGAGTTTGGTATTCAAATGGCATGGACTTTTCAACATAACATGATAATAATTGACCAAATTGTTTTCATAAGGAGGATGTATTTTCGAAATAATTAGAGAAATGACTTCAAAGTTACTTTTGTGTGTTTCAATGAAAAGTAAATCTTAATTTGTGATTTAATTGAAGGAGTTGCTCAACACCGGCTAACTTCTAGCACTATTTTCCTTGGTAGATGGTAGCTGTTGTAAGTCTTTAAAGAGGCATCAATTTTTTAATTTATTTTGACTTAGAAAAGTATTTGTTGTAAGTTCCAAACAAACCCACTCCATTGACAAAACTGAAATATTACAATTAGATAAATATGTTATTGCATGTGTAGTTTAATCAAATAAAGAATTTTACATGGTCTAAGAAAATATTTTAAAGCAACTCTGCTAATAAATAACTGCGTGATAAAGTCATATTATCATGTAGTCTATTGTCTTATATCTCACTTCTCTAATTTGTGTAATGGAAATGCTTTTATTAACTGCATGTATTCTTAAATGTTAATATAAAACATAAAATTTTAATGTAAATCATTGAATATTTATTTTGTCATCTCATCAACCCTAGGGGCTTATGAATATTTTCAGTTTACAGAGAAGAAATTGAAGTACAGAGAAACTTCGGGCCAATGTTATAGAGCTAATCAATAACCAAATTAGGATTTGTGCCATATTGCCTTCTTATTTCTTTCATCAGCTTATCTATCTTGAGAATAAGAGGAACCTAGTTCCCAATGTGGAAATATATCTAAAACTGTGCATTTATACAAAACAGGTATACCATTAGAAAAATGAGCAAATCAATAATTAGCATTTATTCTATACTCTGCAAGTTAATTATACATTTTTAAATGAATCTATGTATTAAAAATATATTGACTTAAAGTGTCATCTCTTATATTTGCATGTATTTTCTTATACTTTAGAATGAACATGCACATATGAGTATTTTGTATGTTATATTTGCTAAAAATTTTAGAAATTACCTCTTTTCCCTGATGTTTCTCATGTTCAAACTTCTTAGGTTTTTGCTAAAAAACAAATCATGTAAAAATGTTATCACCTATAAAAATTAAATGTAGGAAATTTTTAAAATATTAACATTTAAACATGAAGGTTTTACCTTGTTGAGGTGTGCAATTAATTCCTTCAGGAAAATAAAAATAAAATCAGGTTACATTTTCATGAAAAATTTTTATTTGCCAATATAAATCAGAAAATTAAGGCATGATAGGTTAATGTGGGCACCATGCTTGGTAATATCATCAAAAACACAGGATAATTACTGAAACTTATATGTTGCACTATTCTGTATAAGCCTGCTGTATTAAAGACAGACAGCTAAGTGCAGCCAAGAGAGAAAAGAAAATTAATGAACATAGCACAAAAAGAAGAATTTAATAGATGCTAATTTTCTATCTCATTATATACCCTTCATAAGACAACAAATAATGTATAATATCCCATCTGATTATAAAAGAATTATATTTGTTAATAAATTATAATAACCATGGATATATTTTCTTAATCATTCTTAGTTTCTTTGCTATATTTAGGCTTCAAATGAATTGTAAGAAATAAATGCTTTCCCCAAGGATCTGAAAACCTTTGTGAAGAGATAAAGTATACACATGATGCACTTAATAGGTAATGACAGACCCTAAAAAGTGGTGCAAGTATAAACATCTACCTGACTCTCACAGGCAGATTTCCAACTAAGCCTCATTGCCACTTATTCACCAGAGTGACTACTGTAATTACAAAATATGTCCATTTGCATGTCTGCCCACCTCCTATGTTGCCATTCTCTCCTATGGGCAGTCTCTGTTCACTTTACACCACAGCTCCTAGTCAATGTTTGGTCCACAGAAGGAGATCAATGAATGTCAAAGAAGTGAATGAGGTCACCATGGAGAGAGCTCAAGACAGCTAAAAAGACTGTACAGTTCATTTAAAGAAGTGGTGGGGGCACAATGACACAATTTAAAGTAGGAAGCTGGCTTAGGAAGTGCTTGAATAGTGAAAACTGTAGACATTTATTCTGCCCTTAAACATATATACTGGACATTTACATCAGAATTTATTTGTCACAGTTAGGTGTATTGGCTTAAAATCTCTAAAATAACACTATCAAAAGATAATACAGCATTTTACTATTCCAAACATGGAAATTGCTTCAGAATGAACATTGTCTTACCTCACTGCTTGAAAGGCTTTCTACAGTCTGTAAAGGGAAAAAAAATTGCCACTGGATGATCGGACAAGGTTATTATTTTATAGTCAAAATTTTTTCTCTGAATAAAAAAAATCTTACCTCAGTGGTTATGCTGAGTTCTTCCTTCTGTAAAGAAAATAACACCATTTAGTTTTCTCATCGAAGTCATTTTTTCCTATTACTATTAACTTTTTATTTTCTTTATGAAAAGATATCTCCTTCACAAATATAAGAAATATAAAATGTTGTGTATCTTTTGAAGCTTTGAAAAGTAATTGGTTTTATGTCTTTTATATTTGGTAACTCTAATGTTATATTTTTATTTTACCTGAATGGAGAACGTATTTGATGGGTAACAGAGAGGGAGTTACTTTAATATGTATCAAACACTTTTTATTACAATTACAAATATGTTTATAATTATGATTATTGCCTGACACTGTATCCTCTGGTTGTCTTTAGACAGACACAGGTAGGATTTGGCCCCATGCCCTAGGGTAAGAGCTACATGAGTTTCATCACTGGAATATGGTATATTTATCTGGGTTGTACATGCAGGCAATTGTACTTGGGCACTATTACTCCTCTTTTATGTTTGTTTCTTCTTGTTTTATCTCATGCCTGTTTGCTTATTTGTTTTTTTCTTTAGGGACTGGTAGCATTTAACCCAGATTTGTGGCCCTACAGGACACTGTTGAAATAGTGAGTGAATGTACATGATTATTTTAAAAGTATTAAAAAATTCTGCTGAAATTCTGCATTGTTTGTACATTTAAAATATTGGTAATGTTGTTCTCTTCACATGGGAATATATTTCACCTCATGTTAATTATTTAGAGATTTTCTTACCTCCCTTGCAAGGGCGAGGGCCACCAGGCAGGCAAGGATGAGGACCTTCATGGCTCTCAAGGCCTGTGAATGGGAAAAAAGAATTATGGTTGTCAAGGTAAGATATTTTCTTAATTGTGTAGGCTTCTCTCTTTAAAAAATCAAAGATAATTAAAATGACTGTATTTTAGGAAAATTACCGGTAGAAGTTTTATTATATAACCAAAGCCAAAACCTTCTAGTCTTACTTATCAACTTTATCCTCCAATAAAAGCCATTCAGATTTTTCAGCTCTCAGCTCTACCCTATCTCACTCTTTTTGATCTCACTGACAGTTCAGTGTGTTTTTTGAAATACAGAAAAACATTGTAAATATTTATATGAAGCTTTATTAATTGATTCATTTATTCAAAAAGAGTAATATTTATTCAGCAGTCTTAACTGCCTGATGCTGTCTATGGTTTTGGTTTAAAGCAGTGAACAAAATATTAAGGTTTCCCGCCTGATGAATCTTCATATCCATTGGGAACAGACTGATTAAAAAATGTATACATAGAAGATCATAGTTTATTTTAGCTTTTCTTTACTAAATGAATGAGTTTTCATGAATATTTGGTAGTAAGAATCATATCTTCTTACTTCTAATAAGACTGAGATTTTTATTTGAGCATTTAATTTATTTGATCCATCTGTCCACACTTTTTTTTAGGACTGATATATTTGTTTTTTCTCTTTGTGTATCCACTACAGTCTTCATCCCCATACACCTAATGATGTCTCTTTTCCTTTGTGCCCTATAACTTTAGAGACCATACACCATGCTTCTCTTTTCTCTGATTTTTTGGTGATTTACCAAAGGATCAGATTCTCTTGCCCAGTCCCTAAAACAGTCTACTTATTATTGTAGCATAATATAAAATAAACTTTGACACTTTTGACTAGAATGTACTAAATGTTTCATTTTCTTCCATCTCTATTATTTCTAGGAACAAAAGTGCCACCAACATACTTTAACATACAATCTTCAACCCCAGACTTATAAACTAAATTTCTGCTACAAGGGCCAAGTCAAGGAACAGGTATGGAGGACCCGTGAACAGGGACAACAGGGTGGGGACTGACTGTGGGAGAAGGGAAGAACATGGGCGGGCAGGGGAGAGCAACAGGGAAAAATGTGGGACAACTGTAATTGAACAACAATAAACAAAATAAAAATCCTTGAAATTAAAAAATGTCCCTAATTCATATGCAAAATATACTTTGCAATATTTAAGGCTGAAATATTTCTCTTTGTTAGGCAAATATGTGTTCCAGATTTTTCTCATGGGTGCTATGTACTTCTTACTAATTTTATTTTGCTTAGGCTTCTATAAACTTCCAATTAGTTTTTCATTGTCAGGCCTCAAAAATATGTTATTATATTAGAGATCATTACATGGAAGGAAGATCTCATTGCATTTTGTATATTTTATATATCAATTTTTAAGCCAAACTTTATTATTAAAATGCATAGTCTGATGTACTCTTTCTTTACAATCTCTTTTGTTTGAAATAAATTTTCATGTTATTTCTACCTCTTCTAGAATTTTTCTTACAAAGTAAAGCTTAGTTTCTTTTTAACTGAATGCTGTTTTACATGTCTATTTTAACATTTTTTATAACTTATAAACTGAACAATAAAGTAGGATATTGTATGTCATAAACAAGTTCAATGAATATATTCTTGTAAAAAAATTATTTATAAGCATTTCAAGTAGTTCATGCTCCCAAAAAACTCTCATAATATCTTGATTCAATATGCTACCTTTATAACTACCTGCCGAATAAAGCTTTCCCGATAATTTTTTACAATACTTTAAATATATGATTTTTAGCTCTGGCTGGTATGGTTCAGTGGATTGAGTGCTCGCCTGTGAACCAAAAGGTCGCCAGTTCGATCCCAGTCAATAAACACATTTGGGTTGTGGGCCAGGTCCTAATTTGCGGGCGTGGGAGAGGCAGCTGATCAATGTACCTCTCTACACATCAATGTTTCTTTCCCTCTCTCTCTAAAAATAAATAAATAAAATATTTTAAAAATAAATATATGATTTTAGGACTGTGATAAGTTTAATCATTCTGGAAGATATAATTTATGAATTAGATCTTTTAATGTAGCCTGTTAACTACCCTGTACTAAAAAATATTGACCATCATTACTACATTTCCTTGGACCTATGAAGCTTATTTGGCCTTCTAATATTTACCAAATCTTCATAGGCACTTCTACTTTTTTTAATCTAAGTGTTGAGAATAATGTCAGTACTATTTTACATATCTTTATTTTAAAGACTATATTTAAAAATAATTTTCTTCATATATCACAAAGTGGTTGAAATAAAGCTAAAGAGAAAGTACATCAAATTTATATGTGAAATTCTTACCTTTTCCAAGGTGGAGGACAAGAAGTGAAGGAGGAGCCAAGTGGATGATGGTGTGACTGCTTTTGTGGCTTTTTATATACTGTATTCAACAGCATGTTAATTTTGTGGTTTGAAATAAAATCAATAGCAAGTTTCAATTCCAAGAAGCCTGCATGATTAGAAAATGATTTCCGCTTAATATCTGTCCTCAGAAATGCTGGGAAACATTTTAACAAGGGAGCAATTCATGCCTGACATAGGAAATCTGTCCAGGAAATGCAATTGTCGAACATCTGAAGGAAATCATTGGAGGACAGTGAGCCTCTGGTTCAATCTCCATGTTACAACTTAATTAGGTCTCTAGCGCTTGGTAGGTCCTGAAGACCTCACTTGTGGGAATGCTATATGAGCACCAGACATTCACAGGGACTTACAAAGGCCACAACTGCACGCTAACCTTAGCAGCTGATAGTGTTTTGTGCCGCCATGGAGAAAAATGACAAGAAAACAAGTCCATGATTGTGGTTTAGTCATGTGAGTCATACTGCAAAGCTTCCAGGGCCACCTGGTTTAGGTATAATAAATCATTAACTTAAAAATCAGTATCTTGTATACAAGAGAAACAATCTTCATTCGATAATAGCAAATCTCAGAAAAGGAACCTGGGTGGCTCATATAGGCAAAACCCTTGGTAAGTCTGTGAAAACTTTGTAAAATGTCATGGAGACTTATTTACCTGATAAATATAGGTTATCATTTTTTTCAAGCATTATAACTATAATAGAATTTTTTTATTTACTACTAACTCTGTGCCAAGCATTGTGTCCTTGACTGGCTTATTTTGTATGATTGTAACAAAATGTCAGGATACCATGATACATGATGTCATGAGAGCTTTCCTCTCCACATTTTCAATGAAGAAATTGAGACACCAATACATTAAATAATTTACAAAATCCATATTATTTGTTAATTTCAAAAATTCCATTTAAAACCAGATCTGAGTACATGTGCTTCTATTCGATTATCTGCCCACTTCTTAACCCCCTGAGATGTTATAAAATTTATCTATCAATGTAGTATTTGGGCTTAAATGTGCATCTTTTATTATGCCTTGGTTAGAGGAATGGGCACTTTTTCTGAGTGTGAGCAGGTGTGCTGGTCCTCAAGGAGTTCTTATTATAATTGAAACTTAAAAGAATTATGACAGTTTTGAGATATAACTAAATGTGAATAAAATATTTGGCTGAAAGAAATATGGGTGCTTGTGCAGTAATATACCACATTTAATAGGTTCTGTATTTTAGGAAACATAGAGGATACAGGATATGTTACTATTATAGGCATTTGATGGAGCCATATCATGGATGACTTGAATTTCAGAATGCATTGTGACATAATTCACTAAAAAAAGGATGATTTTAGAGATGTGAAAGAAAATTGATTTAAAAATTTTGGATTATATGTCTTTATGGCAATATCTCCGGCAATCTAGTATGCCGGAGGTTGTTATAATATGCTATTATAATAGTCGAGGGTAAACATTATGATGAGTTCAACTATGGAAATGGTGTTGAACATCTTACACAAGGGGAAGCAAAATAAAAACTTATTATTAAAATAAGAGGAATGAAAGAAAACTGGAATTTAAATGAATAGAATATGCCAGGGTAATTGAAAATTTATCCATGTCATAAGCTAAATTGGAAACCAAGCTGAAATCAGAAAAGGGATACTCAGTTAAGTCTTACACATTTAAGTTTGAAGATATCTAAGATGGGTTGTTGTTAATTAAATATAATGCTCAATGGTGTCATATGTACAGCTGTATAAATTTTTTTCTGGCAAAGAATAAATTGATTTCTCCAGGGAGAAGTGGCAAGTGAAAAGGAAATTGTCTAAGAATAGAACTCAAGTCTACCCTGTTATTCAGAGGCTAGTACAGCAGAAGGAAATAGGAAATAATATAGAGTATCAAGAAGAAGAAAGTAGAGGGTCATTGGAGCCATGGGAATGAATCGCTAGGAAAAAATAAATGAAGGCAAGAATGAAAATGCTACACAGAGGTGAAATAAGGTGGAAACAGAAAAGAGATATGTGGACTTAGAGTCATTATCACTGTAACCACTGAGATACACTCCAAGTGGTTCAAAGTATGCCTGAGGAGTGAAAAGCAACACTACTCTTCAGGGATTTTAGAAGTAGAACTAAGGGCACCTATGGAGTGGTATCTGTGACTATAGGAACAACCAGAATCATGTGAAGGTAATTTTAGGACAGAGATTTTTAGCTTAAAAAAATAGGCTGATGATAAGAAGTGGCTGAAATACACTAAAGGGGTGGAAATTAAATTGATAAGGCAAGATCCAATAGGATAAGAGTTACAACCAAAAGAAATAAACCTATACAGAATGTACCAGTTTTTCTGAAAATAAAGAAAAGGAGGAGAAGATAGGTAAATTTAATACATACTTTGAAATACAGGGTAGAAAAATTGAAATTAAATAGTCTTACTTTTCCAGTTAGATGCAGGACGGAGTTTTCAGCTGACAGTGAGGGAAGTGGATATGACTTTGGAATATTTAAAAGAGGGAACATATTTTGCTAATATGAAAATAAAAATGAATAAAAATATCCACAGCATTAATATCTAGATAAGAGGAGAAATCA